CGCCGTGTCTAGGCTGGGCTCAGCCCGGCGGGATCCAGCCGCCGGCCCGTGCAGCCCAGGGACGGGGGAGGCGCTGAGGCCGGGTCGAGCAGAGCCAAGCAGTCTCCCCTGCAGCCCCGCGGTGGAGCCCAGGAGCCGTCGCCCGCTGGGCCGGGGCAGGCCCGTCTCCCCCGCGTCCCCGGGTGAGGGTCCCGCTGGGCAGGTCCGCAGGACTCCGCCGGCTACTCCTTGGCGGGCCGGGCCCACGGGCGCGACCCTGGCACGGGTCCGCCCTCTCCCTGGTGCTTGCCCATTGCCCACCTCCAGTGGCCAGGGCCACAGCTGCTTCCAGCCTCCTGCTGAGGTGGGGGCTGCACTTCTCCCTGCACCTTCTTTGTTAAGAAGCCCCCAAGCCCCCTGGGCCTCCTGGCCAGCCTCCATCCCAGCTCTGGCCAAGCTGGGCATCTGCAAGGCCAGGGAGGAGGCTCTGGCCAGGAGGAACCTGAGCAAGGATTGAGCTGCCTTTCTCTAGCTTCCCTGCTCATGGGTCCAAGCAGTCTCACTGGTCTGGTCGCATCCACAGGCTCCCTGCGCTTGGGGAGCTGTGGGCTCTGGCCAGTGTGCTCTGCTGTGTCCCTTGTTACTAACCTTTGACCTCACTCCCCTTCCTGTTTTCTCTTTATTTGTTCCCCCAGAATCAGTTGACACATCCCCAGCGGCCTGGGAGGCTCACAGTATTCTGTGATGGGCCAAACCCCAGGATGAGGGCCCTACCAAACTCACGGCCGAAGTGGGGTGCACTGCGGCTCCTTTAATTTTGCAGGTTCCCCTGTATGTTTCTCTGCCACTGATTACTGGAGGGGCCCTATTTGCTGCCCTCTCCTGATTCTCAGGGAACCGAAAACCATGGTTTTAAATGTGGTGACTTTTTTTGCCTCCCTGCTGTTGAGCAGCAAGCAAGCAGCAGGCCCCTTGACCAGTCAGCGGTAGGAGGCAAAAATGGCACTATATTTAAAACCACACTTTTGGCCTCCCTAACAATCAGGAGCAAGCCGCAAGTAGAGCCCCTCCACCAGTCATCAGCGGGGAGGGGGAGATGCATGGGAAGAGCTGCAGTGCACCACACTTCTGCCATTTGGTCGGGCCCTACTCATGATCTTTCAGCACATCAAACAGGCCTGTGTCATGCAGAAGCAGCAAGTGGATGCTGGAAAGGAGAATGAGCCCAGGATTTTTCCACTATTCCTCTCTCACTTGCAGCCTCCAGCATTTATGGTCTTCTAGGAAGTTCTCATTCAGAAGCTATATCCCTAACTCCTGTGCTCAATAGCTACAGATGCTATTGACACTAGTCAATAGCTAGTGGTGCCCCTTTCGTCCAAAAACTTGTCCAGTCCCTTTATTTGATTCTACCTAAACTGTCAGCTTCTACAACATCTGGTGGCGATGGGTTCCACACTTCAGTAACGCACTATGTGAAAAAGAACTTCCTTTTTTAATTCTTTTTCTAAAGCTTACCAAGCCCTGTTTGTCTTCACCTGTGCTGCGCTTATCACTTCCCACCTGCAGCACTAGGATCTTCGAGGAGAGTGTCACTGGTTTCTCGGTGTTGCATGGGAACAGAGAACCCTCTTAGGAGTTGGTTGTTGTAAGGCAACTTCCTTCCTTTAACAGCTCCACTGGCTGAAGTTCCTTTTGGCCAGCTCTTGCATGTGGCTTTGACCCAACATAGTCTCAGTTTTGAGCATTGATAGAAGCGGTCAGATCCATGATGGAGCTCTTCTTGAATGTGGCCCAGCTGGTCTTGATACATGGTGCTCATTCACAGAGATGCTGAAGTGCAAGCATAGTGGACATGTGGGGCATAGAGGAAGCATGCCAGACAGCTTTGGAAGATGTGCAAATGCAGTGACTGTCCTCCTATTTCCTGTAGCATGGGTGGCTGTCATACCATTTTGTAGATGTGGACCAGTTGCTCCAGAACTTCCTCATGAAGAAACTGACCTGAGGAAGGATCTTTTCCCTAACCCCCTGGGACTTGATAACGCATGATTGGGAGAGCCTGTCATAGTATGAAGAATATTATAAGCAACACATACAGTAGGAGCAAGGCACTTCATATGGTCATGGGTCGTGAAGTCCCCAGGCAGTATACAAAGCTGCAGCAAACAGCTGTGAGAGTGTTGTGGTGCTCTGGTCTTTTGCTTCAGGGTGTTGCTTCTCCAATCAGCTGTATGGGACCCCGATGAGCTCCAACTTAGTGCAGTGCCCTTTGAAGTAAAAAAAAAAAAAGCAGTAACCTGCTGGGCAGCTTCTTAATTCTGAAGCAAGCTGGTGGTAGACCACCCAAATATAAATGATTTAGATTTTACTTCTACAGGAAAGCCTCCTGAAAATGTTTCGTTTTATTTGCACTTTAGTTTTCCATATTGTGCTTATTGTACTCCTCCAAATTGTACGTGTACACTTCAAATCTGATACATAGTAATATGATACGTTCTGTTTTCTTTTGCTAACTGCAGAAAAACAAGGGATTACTCATTTAAAATTACTTCTGTGATGGATGTGAGCACAAATAGCATCCCTGATTTTCCTTGCCTCTTTGTTAAGGAGTCCACTCATTTCTAATTTTATAGAGGCTGCAAGAGACTACAATTATATGTACAGTATTTGAAATATTGTCATGCAAACAGTTGTGGAGGCAGTACTTTCTGGCCTTTGATGTTCCATATGCACATTTTACTTTCATGCTGCCAGTGTAGGCTGCCCTTTGCAACCTGGCCCCAGCCACTGGCTTTAGGTCTCCATTCCCTGGCCTAGCAAGTTACCTGCACTTAACCACACTGGAGCAAGTGCAAGTACAGCTCCATACTACCGATTTCTCTCGAAGCCAAATTGGTCGTCTTTGCAGTCTGGATCCAGCCAGTAGACCGTAGGTTGCCAACCCCTGTCTTGGAGTGTAATTGAATGTACTGCACAGTCTTGTGATGTCTGGACAAGGCTAATAAGCCCTGACAGGAGGGAGTGGAAAGATCTGCCAAAATCACAGTGAGTGCCCATACGTTACTGATAAACATAAGATTAATTATGGAACCAAGGTCTCTTTGCAAGAGAATGCTGTTTTTGCTACAGCAGAGCCATGCAAACTCTTTTTATGCTTGCTTTGAGGTGTCTTTGAACAGATCTCTCCTTTCTCTACAGTGGCCCAACTTCAATGTGGAGGATGGATATTGATCCACAGCTGGGGCCAGCCTCTAGCATGGTGGTTAAAGCATTCTCTGGGGAAGTGGGAACTGTAAGCTTAAAGCTTCCCAGCCTAGAAGCCAGGAATGTTGCTTAGTAAATGCTCTGATCCCTAGGGCACTATATAAAGAAGTGGTATCAAACTGCCTAGATCTGGATTGCAGGACCTCCTCTTGGGCCAGCGCAGTGGTTGTCAACCTCTTTTCATTTGCGGATCCCTAAAAAATGTCAAATGGAGGTGTAGACACTTCTGAATTGTAAGTGTAGTTATTGGCATACTTTTGATTGATCATAGTCATCTTTTGCAGACCCCTTAGATGTAGTCTGCAGCCCTGCAGGTGTCTGCAGACCATGGGCTGAAAACCATCGGTCTAGGGTCAGGCTGCAGGGTGAGTCTGGAACTGGGCAGCAGTGATCATGTCTACTGCAGGTCCAGGGACCCTGAATTCTGCAACGGGGCACACTGTACACAACTTCTGGTAGCTACCGAACTACAGGTGGGCCAGATGGAATGGCTCAGCAGGCTGGATGCTTGATACCCCTGATATACCTGAGTATTATGTCTTTCTGTGTGTGCTATGATTTGTCTTGAGTTCAATGCTTCCAATTTTTGTGAGGTATGTTCAGAACATACTTATAAGTAGGGACTTTGATAGAACAGGGGATACCTAATTTGTGAATCCCAAACACGCTGAGGCAGGCATCTAAATGCTCAGCTCTGAAGCCAAGCACAGTAGCTGGCCTTTTTTGGCATGTAAGTAGCATTATTGGTGGGAAACCTGGGTACCTGCAGACTCTTAGTCATCTAAATAGCTAGGCAGAGTTGCTGACTCTCTTTAGATGCCTAGAGGAGTGTTTGAAAATTACTCATTTGGAATTGGCATGTAAATGCTTTTTTGTTCATGTCCTTTAGGAAGTTGGATGAGATGTTGCCTTTCGAACTAACCTGACTAACTGACTATAAGTCCTGCTATATAACAAAGTTAACCATTGTATACCAATAATAGGGAACTATCTGGAAGGATATTGTTAATAGGGCACTGAAGTAAATGCTGTCTTATAGCTAAAGACAACCGTAGCAGGGTGTGGGGCCCAGGGCAAATCAGCCTGTGCAGGGCCTGGATGCAGTGTGGGGGGAAGGGAGGTGGCAGCAGTGAGCAGCCAGGCACGAAGCCAACCCAGCTCCACAGGACCCGGGGCAGTCGGCCCAATTCACCCCTCTCCAGGCACAGCCCTGCTTATAGCCATTGGAGTTATGCCCCCCCACCCCCCTCCAAAGAAAGAAGCCATATGAAAGGGATGACATGAAATAAATGTTTGGTCATTGAAATAATCAGTAATTTGTCTCAGCAATGTAATCCCCCAATAAGACCTTTGCCAAAAACAATGGCCACCAAATCCATCCATGACTGAGACAGTTTCCATCTAGTGTAGACAGCACTGACTGTGAATTGACTTCTGATAACTTTTAACACATGTAAGTATTGTCCCTCCCATCCCAAAGAGGACATACAATTTGTAGGCCAAATCACAACTTTTTTTATTTTTGTTTTGTTAAACTATAATCTATGAACAGACCATGCCAGTGCATTAGGAAAGAAACAACTTTGATCTTTTGTAATATTTTCTGAGATGCATGCAACCATGTAATCATAATTGGACTCAATCTAGCAGTGGATATCTTGGGGGGCAACCATGGTGCTAGAGCACTTGCCTGGATAGAGGAAAAGAGCAGCCATTCCCTCTCATGGATTGCACTCCAGGGAGCCCCAGATATTCATTAATGGTGAATTCTTTGGGCATCTTATGAGAAAATCCCTCGCCAGTTCTACCAAAACTTCTTTCAAAATACTAAAACCTATGATGAGCAGCACTACTGGGCAGAGGCTCTAGTTTCTCCTTCTCTATGGAGCTCTACCTTTTGAGCTTAATACTAAAAATGATTTTTTAAGATTTTTTTCCAGGGCATTCAGTAGAACTACTGAGGGATATTGCTACAGCTAGCAATTCGATAATTGTAATCATATCCTGAGAGTCCTTGGGTCCTTTCGTACAGCTGTTGGACTCAGACTCTGTGCTGAGCCTTAGTCCTGCGAATGCCCAGTTCACCAAGCTGGCCCAAAATCCCATGCATCATATGCATATTACTGCAGCAGACACCATCCAAATATCCCCCAAGTTGAGTATGCTTGTCTGGGCAGCTGGCTGCCTGTTGAGAGCATGTACATGGGTGGATAGAGTCATTGTTAACTGACAGTCTGAAGCTGGTGGGTATTGTGCTTACCTGGAGCAGTCCCTGAGGAAATTGAATGGTTAAATACGATTTAATGTCTGGAAGCTGGATGGTACCTTAATGTAAAGGGGGGCGGGCATTCAAATGGACCAGAAGATGTAGCCTGGCGCGCTCCAGGTATGAGTTTGCCAGGGTCTCCCTTAGCCTGCATGAAGTGCAGGTGTGAGTGGGATCTGTTAATCACACCACCCTTGTGCCTGTCCTGAAAGCTTCATGCAGGAGCTGTTAGCCTGTATCCCCAGTAGGTCACAGGACTAAGGTGGAGTACGGACTGGCCCAGCAGGGCTTCTTGTCCTGAGAAAATGTGTTGGTATACTACTTGGTTTAAATGTACTGCCTGGGACCAGGAATAAGTCTGTGCAGTTTTCTGATGTGTACATACAGCTGCACTTAACGTTAACATTGCTCCTTAAGTATATAGTGCTGTCAGCACTGTGGTATTAGCAACCCTGAAACTAGCTATCTTCCCCTTGTTTTCAAAGCTTCTAATAGTTAGTTTGGGGGCTGCTCTATTAGAAGCCCTGAAAGTAAGGGCTAGTAAGTTTAAAGCTGTTATATTAACAAGAGCTTGAAAATTAAGGGGAGATAGTAGCCATGAAATTGTATAGCTCCCCTAATTTTCAAGGCTACTAATAGCAGCCCTTTGACAGCTGCTTCCTCTTCACTCTTTCTGCTGCTGTTAAAGGGAGTATTAGTTCAGGAAATGTGACTAATGGTTGATTATTGATCGCTATTGCCTCTCTCATTTCTTGTGCAGAACACAAAGTAATAATAGTGGGACTTGACAATGCTGGAAAGACTACCATTCTTTACCAGTTGTAAGTATATGAACTATTAAATTTTTGTTATATGAACTATTAAACTTTGTTTATGTTGAATATATTGTGTTTTACAAGTCATTTGTAATTTTGCTTGAAAGAGCTTAAAAATGCTGGGGAACCTAGAACATGGGCTCAGTCATCATGTAATACTTACATTTATGTTAAACAGTAGACACAGATACTGAGAAGACTCGAGTTGCATGTTAATTAAGCACTCCTAAGAATTACAAGTGTGAATGAATAATTCTGCTATTGAGACCTTTGGTAACTGATGAGAGGTAAAATTGCCTTGGTGGCCAGCAGCAAAAGCATCACAAAAACTGTTTTGCCATGTGCATGGGAATTTTAGTCTGTTTATGAAATCTATGCATAGATCATGATTATTTTCAAAGGAAAGGCTTTGATATCCCTCCTCAACCAAAGGTCAGGCACTGGTGAATCTAACAATTCCTTCGCAGTAATATTGGACTTCCATTGTGCTGCCATGGTCTTACAGTAATGCCTCTGATCTTGCTGTAGTTGATATCAAAACAAAAGAAAACAATTTGCTGTCTTTTACACCTAGGGATGCACAAAAGAAATCAACAAATACTTACAAGACTATTACCATGAGAGTAATGGTCCCTATGTAAATTTGAAGATGGTGAAGAATATCTTCCTTCAGTGTACACGTCCCAGGCAAAAAATATCTCTATTCTAGTCTTGTTTTAAAGATGATGCTGAAGAAGTATTTTCAGTAAAGGATACAAAAAGTTTTTCAGAATCTAGTCTGAAATTGGTTAAGTGTTATATGTTACAGAACCTGAACATTGTGTTTTTAGATAGTTTTATCTGGTCCAAAAGTGTCATTTTATTATTGGATCGTTACAACTCTTGTTTTGAAATTAGTATGTTAATGGGTCTATTAATTTGAGTGAAGCTTCACTCTGAAGATACAAAAGCCAGTGGCAGTTTGTATTTTAGACATTTATATTTGTGCTTAATTGTTTACATCTACAATACCTGGTTCCACAGAGAGTACCTCACTGATTTTATCACATAAAATACATGTACGTGATGTCTTTTATTAGACCAGCTATATAGTTGGGAAAGCTGTTGAACAAGCCTTTTGGCGTCTGGTGCCCTTTCTTCAGGTGACGTGATGCCCAAAACTTTGCCCAACAGTTCTCTGAGCTATACACTTGGTCCAATAAAAAGACCTTTCCTCTCAACTTTTTTTTGGACCATCATGGCTACAATGCAGCTACCATCCAAACCTGCTATGAACCTTAGTAAATGTTTTCGAAGTTAAAAGCTATGATATACAAGGTCTGTTCAAAAAGTATCGAGACTGAATGTGTATTTTGGTACAAAGTATTGGGTTGGCGGGGCATGGCTTTGCTGGACATTTCTGAGCATGTTGGGACTCCTCTGGACAGGTCTGCAGCTCATGGCATTTCCCCAGTTTTCTGTGGCCAGCAGTTGAAGTAAGATTGTTTGTCTCATGTCCCCTTCTGTTATATCAGTGTGTCCAGAACAACGTATGTGCATTAAATTTTGTATGAAAATCAGGGAAAACGGCAAGTGAAATATTTGAGTTACTTATAGTGTCATCACCAAATGCTATTTTGAGCCATGCAAGAGTTTTTGAATGGTATCGTCAGCGTAAAGAAGGACAATAATCGGGCGAAAATGATGAGCGTGCCGAACACCCTTAAACATCACTAATGATGAAATGTGGCAGCAGTTCGCAGTTTGGTTTGAAATGATAGGCGATTGACTGTCCGAGAGACAGCAGAAGAACTTGGAATTTCTGTTGGCTCATGTCACTCAATTACGTTTCATTCCCAAACCGGTGATTTGGGAATGAAACAACCAGAAAAGTGGGTGTCTGACTCTTGGATGCTTCACCATGACAACATGCCTGCCCACTCAGCATAGCTTGTGAAGCAATTTTTAACCAAATTTTAGCCAAACATTGTATCCCACGAGTGCTGCATATTCACCTGATATGGTTCCATGCGACTTCTTTGTCTTCCCTCAACTAAAAACCTTGAAAGGAAGAAGATTTTGTGGTGTGGAAAATATAAAACAAAATGCAGCTGAGCAGCTTTTAGCGATTCCACAAATTACTTATCAGAGGTGCTTCCAACAATGGCAGAAACGTTGGGAGAAGTGTGTGGCTGAAGGAGCATACTTCGAAGGAGATTAAGCCGAAACCCCTGTAAATAAAATTTTTGGGTTCCAACAGCAATAGTCTCGATACTTTTTGAACAACCCTCATATATAGAGAGAGAGAGAGAGAGAGAGAGAGAGAGCGAGATTATAGTTCTTAACTTTAGATAGGTAGATAGACATATCATAGCTTTTAACTTTAGGCTGTCTCTCTCTCTGTGCATGTGTGTGTAAAATCTCTTAGCTTTTAACTTTTGACAGATTATAGTTTTATAGTTTACAGGTTTATAGTAGGTTTGGATGGTAGCTGTGTTATAGTTGTGATGGTCCAAATAGTTGAAAGGAAAGGCCTTTTTATAAAACACACTCGCGCACAAGTACACACGTTTGCGAGATTTATTTTTTCTACAGAAATTAAGGTGAATTAACCTTTTCCAGAAGCTATTTTGTCATTGTTTTTAAAAGTACTAAAATGGTTTGTCTTTATTATGACAAGACTTTCAATTTAAAGAACTGATGCATCAGAAAGTGTTCAAGTTTTTGTTGAAAGCTCCTCTAAAATGTTACATTGTTTTCCTTAGCTTAATGAATGAAGTGGTCCATACCTCTCCAACAATAGGAAGCAATGTTGAAGAAATAGTAGTAAAAAACACCCATTTTCTAATGTGGGACATTGGAGGGCAAGAGTCATTACGCTCATCATGGAATACTTATTACTCAAATACAGAGGTATGTTATACTGCTTACAAACTACAATTAAGTTGTTGGTTTTTTTTTTAATTAAGTCCTGGTAGCTTGGGTTGAAATTACACTTGTTGGAGAGAGTGTGGTCTTATGCCAAAAATTAGCTGGTGTTTATGGAGAAAATGTACAGATCATTGTCCATTTTAAGAAAGTGCAGCTATGCCACAGTGCACAGAGAGTTAGAGAAGCTGAACATGTGGCAAGGTATTGTAAGTAGTTGCAAAAGCCTCTGTCCCCAGGGGAGCCGCCACAATGCATTGTTTTAAGTTGAGCTAGAACCCTTTTCCAAGTATATATTGAATATAGCTTATGGTAAAGATGACAATATATAATAGAAGGCTTCCAGTTGTAATAGGAAGGAGTTAATGGGTAGCAAGAAACAGTTTGTAAGGGCTTCTTTTTTTTGTAAAAGACCTGTGTAGAGACAGTTCAGACTGATGTCTACAAATATTAATTCATTTATCAAACAGGCCTACATGTTACACTCATTTTGTGATAGTTTTAAGCCAGTCTCAAGCCTTCATTTATGGGTTGTTGTTTTTTTTTTAGAGTTGTTAGTGCTGTGATTTGTCATCTGTTCTTCTGGATAAATTTAAAAAGAATGTTCTGAGTTGATTCAGTTTTTGCAGGTTAGTCTAACTTGCAAAAATTGAACTGATTTGCAAGAGCAAAGACATTCACATTGCATACTGGAAATGCAGAGACATGCTAGCAGTGGTTCAGGCTAGAAGCCAGGAGGCACTAGAGCAGCCCTCCCTTCCCTTTGCAGCAACTGCAAGGCTGGAGGGAAGCTGACCTGGAGGGGCATGGCCAGGCCCTGACAGGCCACCAAGTATGATTGTAGAGCAGTTTAAACCCCCACCCTGGCTTGTAAGGACCCCAGCCAGGCTGTGCCTGGAGGAGTAGGGGGGAAGCAGCCCTTGCCAGGCTTGTCCCCAAGACCAGACATTGGCCGGGGCAATACCTCATGAAGTGGGGCAGTGGATAGTGATTCAACTCCATGTTTCTGGGCATGGGACCCCAGTCAGGGTCTACTCAGTTTTCCTTCCTGCTCTTGCTCTGGAGGCCTGGCCAGAGCCGGCCGGCATGGCCCTGCTATCCACCCAGGGCTGGAGCTGCAGCTGGGGCTGAGCCCAGCTGACCTGCGGGTGTTACTGGAGGTGGAGGCAGAGAGGCAGCCTGGGCTGAGGCCGCAGGGGCTGCATGGCCAGATTGCTCCCAGCTCCGTGTCCAAGCTGGGCTGGGCTGCCATGGAGCCCCAGTGGGCTGGGTAGGACCCCGCAGGCCTGCCCATGGGATCAGGGTCCTTCCCAGCCTGCTGCAGCTGCATGACAGGCCAGCTCAGCAGCACAAACTGGGGCAACCTAGGGATTGGGCTCCCTGGGCCAGCTCAGAGGTGCTGGAGGGCCCCAAGCCCAGCAACCACCACCGCACCCCCTGCCCTGTGCAGCACCCTGGGCTGCAGCTGCACAACCAGCAGCTGGGGGGCGCTGTTCTGCCCCACTCACCTCTAGCGGCCACTGCGACCACTGCACCACACTGCTCTGGGAGGGGGAGAGGGAGAGGGGAGTGGGAAGCTTCAGTCCCGCAGCTTCTGCCTAGTGTGTGGCACTCTGGCTCCAGCTCCCGGATACCTTGGAAGGCGGAAGGCATCTGGGGGTTGCAGCCAGAGCTCCATGTGTGGGGGCTGAAGCTTTCCCCCCCTCCACCTCCCAGA